AAATAATTTTACTAAAAAACGAATTTGAAAAGTAGAGAAAAACTCAAAAACGGTTATTAACATTTTTATGAAACACGGAAGAATAAAGAACTAGGAAAAGAACCGGAAGAAGCCAGAAATTTAGTGATTTTAGGGGATGTCTTGAAACAAGAATAGGAAGCCAGGAAAAGAACCGAAGAAATCAGAAATTTATAATACTTCTGATTGTCACGGAAGAATAAAAAGCCAAAATAACAGAAGGAGCCAGAAATTATAAAATAGGGATTTTTTATCTTTAAACTTTAGGAATTGAGAAATTTTTTAAGAACCGAAGAAGCCATATTTAAATTATTATATTATATTATATAGGAATAGGATTATATAGGAAAAGAACCGGAATAATCAGAGAAATTAAGTGACAATTAATGTATTGGAAGAATATTCAAAAAACAGGAAAACGAACCGAATAAGCTAGAAATTAAAAGGAAACACACGGAAGAAAAATAATTTAAATCAAAGAACCGGAATAATTTCATAAATTATCGTTAATACAGGGATGTCAACGGAAGAATAGGAAGCCAGGAAAACAAAATTAAGGAACCAGAAAAAGGATAGGGATTTTACGGAAAAATGAAAAGCCAGGAAAAGAATTGCGTTCAAAAACAGAAATTAACATTTTTTATGTCACGGAAGAATAGGATGCCAGGAAAAAACCGAAGGAACCAGAAATTAAGTGATAGGGATGTCACGGAAGAATAGGAAGGAGGAAAAGAACCGGAAGGAACCAGAAATTAAGTGATAGGGATGTCACGGAAGAATAGGAAGCCAGGAAAAGAACCGAAGGAACCAGAAATTAAGGATAGGGATGTCACGGAAAAAAAGGAAGCCAGGAAAAGAACCGGAAGAAACCAGAAATTAAGTGATAGGGATGTCACGGAAGAATGGAAGCCAGGAAAAGAACCGGAAGAAGCCAGAAATTAAGTGACAGGGATGTCACGGAAGAATAGGAAGCCAGGAAAAGAACCGGAAGAAGCCAGAAATTAAGTGATGGGATGTCACGGAAGAATAGGAAGTGAGGAAAAGAACCGGAATAAGCCAGAAATTAAGTGACAGGGATGTCACGGAAGAATAGGAAGCCAGGAAAAGAACCGGAATAAGCCAGAAATTAAGTGACAGTGATGTCACGGAAGAATAGGAAGCCAGAAAAAGAACCGGAAGAAGCCATAAATTAAGTGATAGGGATGTCACGGAAGAATAGGAAGCCAGGAAAAGAACCGGAAGGAACCAGAAATTAAGTGATAGGGATGTCACGGAAGAAGAGGAAGCCAGGAAAAGAACCCAAAGAAGCCAGAAATTAAGTGATAGGGATGTCACGGAAGAATAGGAAGCCAGGAAAAGAACCGGAAGAAACCAGAAATTAAGTGACAGGGATGTCACGGAAGAATAGGAAGCCAGGAAAAGAAGCGGAATAAGCCAGAAATTAAGTGACAGGGATGTCACGGAAGAATAGGAAGCCAGAAAAAGAACCGGAAGAAGCCATAAATTAAGTCATAGGGATGTCACGGAAGAATAGGAAGCCAGAAAAAGAACCGGAAGAAGCCAGAAATTAAGTGATAGGGATGTCACGGAAGAATAGGAAGCCAGGTGTGACGTGGTTGTCTCAGGGTTGATCCTGGTCACGGCACCACATGTGACGGTTACACACCTGGCCCAGGGTCGAATCCCTTGGTTACGGCGCCAACTGTGACGTCGCTCCTCCTGGTCGCTCCTCCTGGTTCCAAGCGTGCCGCCCAACCCCTTGGTTGATGATCACCAGTCTCGCCTTTCCCAACTCGCTTCCAATACCTGGTTACTGAAGCAACTGTACTGATCTCCGGTCTGTCTACCCACGTTGTGTTTAGATCTTAGACAGACGGGACCAGCAGGGATTGGGGCCGATACAAGTTGAGTCCGACGGGGTGGCAAAACACAAGTAAAAGAAAGAAAAAACTCACGAGACAAAAAATTACTGATAAAAAGGGTGACAACCTTTTATATCTAATGTCCGTTACATAAAGAAAAATTGTTCTTATTTCCCGACCCACTCTGTGGACTATGGCACTAAGCTTCTATCACACAACCTAAAGTTTTCGAATTGCCTACTTTTTAGAATTGTGTATGTCGGAGTGTGGTTTAGTTCGACACTGGGGCTAATTTCTATCGATCATTCGCAGTTGATTCCTCTCTTCGACTTGAGTTGTATTTCTTCTTCTTCGTCGACTTAGATAGAACTTCTCTTGTCTTCGACTTGGGCTGGATCTTCTCTGCGGCTTTCGAGTAATCTTCTTCTTCGTCTACTTGGGCTGGAAGTTCTCTTGTCTTCGACTTGGGTGGAAAGGATTTCTTGTTTCGACTTGGGTGGAAGGATATCTTGCCGCAACTCAGCCGCTACTCTCTGTCGTCCGAGGTGATCTCTTCTCGCTGCCGTCCGGGGCTGAACTCTGCCGTAACTCTGCAACAACTCTCGGCGTCCTCGAGCAATCTCCTTCTTCGTCTGCTTGGGCTGGAAGTTCTCTTGTCTTCGACTTGGGTGGAAGGATTTCTTGTCTGAGGATTCTCTTGCCCGCAAAGGGGCGAGTGAATCGGGCCTGATGCCCGCGTTCAGGCTCTATCCCCGCCCGCGGTCCAGCTGCAACTCCACCCAACCGATTTCTGTCGACTGGGGTCCTGCTTTTATTGACGCCGCAACAAACCGGGGTGGGTCTGTCGGCGTCAGGGGTTTCTCAATAATTCCAATAGCTGCCTTATTTCTGTCTTCTCATTATCGCTATTGTTATCACCCCTACTTCCTCACAGTGCCCTTGGTGGGAGGCGCACACCCATCTTTCCCGGTCCCTCGTATGTCAGGTGACCGCTCTCGACCAATGATTCCTGATCGAGCATTTCTTTCTATTCTTTCCGCATGCCACGTGACCGTTTCCGACCAACTGTTATTGATCGAGCATCCTTTCTCCTCCTTTCGGGCGTGGTTACATCGTTCTTGTTTTAAAAAAAAACAAAATCTAATTTTGCCTTTTTTGCACGTACGAAAAATGACAATCTTGGCTTTTTCTCACCTGGGCTCTGTCAAAACAGCCTGCCGCTAATTAGATGTGACTTCAGGGAAGAATATTGGCGCTATCTGTGAACTGAGACAATCGTTTTTTTCACCTCTTAATTATCTACATTGAAAATGTCCCCACTTTGTTATCATGGGTTTCCAATTCTTAATAGGTCAGAATCTGTATATAGTTCCACCGGTCACTCCCCTCAACCCAAAAGACACTTTTTCTCCGATTAAAAAAAATTTCCCTTCTATTGTTCCAAAAAAGAATTTCCCTTTCTCCAATTTGACAATGAGTCTTTCCACGCAAAAGTAGGCTAGGTGCTTTGACCGATTTTCTTATCAATTGCCAAAACACTGTCATCAAGCCTGGTTCTTTTTCTCCCTCTTAATGATTTTTCATTTCAAATAACAATTCTCTATTGTCCTTTAAAATTCGGCCACACGCAGGCCAAGATATCTTTCTGACACTTATCTTCGCTTATGACTGGGTCATGCATCATCCAACTCTTTCTTCTTTTTTTTTTTTTTTCTTCCTCTTTCTTTTCTTTTTCTTTTAGGATCGTCTAAGTACAATCTTAGTGAATTATTTTCAACTCAATTATTTTCCGTTAAAAAAAAAAATCAACAACCTGTTTAGTAAACCGAGTAAAAAAAAATTAAATCATATTTCTATGAATATTTCTAATAATGCAAGGTGCCACACAGGAAAAGAACCGGAAGAAGCCAGAAATTAAGTGACAGGGATGTCACGGAAGAATAGGAAGCCGGGAAAAGAACCGGAAGGAACCAGAAATTAAGTGATAGGGATGTCACGGAAAAATAGGAAGCCAGGAAAAGAACCGGAAGGAACCAGAAATTAAGTGATAGGGATGTCACGGAAGAATAGGAAGCCAGGAAAAGAACCGGAAGAAGCCAGAAATTAAGGATAGGGATGTCACAGAAGAATAGGAAGCCAGGAAAAGAACCGAAGAAGCCAGAAATTAAGGATAGGGATGTCACGAAGAATAGGAAGCCAGGAAAAGAACCGGAAGAAGCCAGAAATTAAGTGATAGGGATGTCACGGAAGAATAGGAAGCCAGGAAAAGAACCGGAAGGAGCCAGAAATTAAGTGATAGGGATGTCACGGAAGAATAGGAAGCCAGGAAAAGAACCCAAAGAAGCCAGAAATTAAGTGATAGGGATGTCACGGAAGAATAGGAAGCCAGGAAAAGAACCGGAAGGAGCCAGAAATTAAGTGATAGGGATGTCACGGAAGAATAGGAAGCCAGGAAAAGAACCGGAAGGAGCCAGAAATTAAGTGATAGGGATGTCACGGAAGAATAGGAAGCCAGGAAAATAACCGGAAGAAGCCAGAAATTAAGTGATAGGGATGTCACGGAAGAATAGGAAGCCAGGAAAAGAACCGGAAGAAGCCAGAAATTAAGTGATAGGGATGTCACAGAAGAATAGGAAGCCAGGAAAAGAAACGGAAGAAGCCAGAAATTAAGTGATAGGGATGTCACGGAAGAATAGGAAGCCAGGAAAAGAACCCAAAGAAGCCAGAAATTAAGTGATAGGGATGTCACGGAAGAATAGGAAGCCAGGAAAAGAACCGGAAGGAGCCAGAAATTAAGTGATAGGGATGTCACGGAAGAATAGGAAGCCAGGAAAAGAACCGAAGAAGCCAGAAATTAAGGATAGGGATGTCACGGAAGAATAGGAAGCCAGGAAAAGAACCCAAAGAAACCAGAAATTAAGTGATAGGGATGTCTCGGAAGAATAGGATGCCAGGAAAAGAACCGGAAGGAGCCAGAAATTAAGTGATAGGGATGACACGGAAGAATAGGAAGCCAGGAAAAAAACCGGAAGAAACCAGAAATTAAGTGATAGGGATGTCACGGAAGAATAGGAAGCCAGGAAAAGAACCCAAAGAAGCCAGAAATTAAGTGATAGGATGTCACGGAAGAATAGGATGCCAGGAAAAGAACCGAAGGAGCCAGAAATTAAGTGATAGGGATGTCACGGAAGAATAGGAAGCCAGGAAAAGAACCGGAAGAAGCCAGAAATTAAGTGATAGGGATGTCACGGAAGAATAGGAAGCCAGGAAAAGAACCCAAAGAAGCCAGAAATTAAGTGATAGGGATGTCACGGAAGAATAGGATGCCAGGAAAAGAACCGGAAGGAGCCAGAAATTAAGTGATAGGGATGTCACGGAAGAATAGGATGCCAGGAAAAGAACCGGAAGGAGCCAGAAATTAAGTGATAGGGATGTCACGGAAGAATAGGAAGCCAGGAAAAGAACCGGAAGAAGCCAGAAATTAAGTGATAGGGATGTCACGGAAGAATAGGAAGCCAGGAAAAGAACCCAAAGAAGCCAGAAATTAAGTGATAGGGATGGCCCAGGAAAATAGGAACCTTTGAAAAGGAAGAAGCCAGAAATTACGATAGGGATGTCACGGAAGAATAGGATGCCTGGAACCCAACCAAGAAGCCAGAAATTAAGTGATAGGGATGTCAGGATGAATCACCAAGCCAGGAAAAGAACCGGAAGAAGCCAGAAATTAAGATAGGGATGTCACGGAAGAATCCAAAAAGAACCGGTCAAGCCAAAATTAAGTGATAGGGATGTCACGGAAGAATAGGAAGCCACGAAAAGAACCGGAAGGAGACAGAAATTAAGCAGATAGGATGTCACGGAAGAATAGGAAGTCAGGAAAAGAACCAAAAGAAGCCAAAAACTAAGTGATAGGGATGTCACGGAAGAATAAAGCCAAAAAGAACCCAAGAAGCCAGAAATTAAGTGATAGGGATGTCACGGAAGAATAAAAGCCAGGAAAAGAACCGGAAGGAGCCTTTTGATATATCTTAATGTCCGTTAGGAAAGGAGAAAAGAAAAAATTGTGTCTCAAGAATCCCAGGAAAGAACCGGAAGGAGCCAGAAATTAAGGACTAATGGCATGTCATCATTAATAGGAAAATAGTCCAGGAAAAGAACCGGAAGAAGCCAGAAATTATGGATATGTCGGATTAAGTGGGATGTCACGGAAGAATAGGAAGCCAGGAAAAGAACCGGAAGGAAGCCAGATCATTCGCAGTTGATTCTTTCACGGAAGAATAGAGGAAAAGAACCCGAGCCAGTAATTAAGTGATAGGGATGTCACAGAAGAATAGGAAGCCAGGAAAAGAACCGGAAGAAGCCAGAAATTAAGTGATAGGGATGTCACGGAAGAATAGGAAGCCAGGAAAATAAAAGAAGAAGCCAGAAATTAGTTTTCCTGTTTCAAAATAACCGAAGAAGCCAGAAATTAAGATAGGATGTCACGGAAGAATAGGAAGCTTAAAAGAACCGAAGAAGCCAGAAATTAAGAAATGTCGTCACGGAAGAATAGGAAGTGGTCTCTTAGGGATGTCACGGAAGAACAGGAAGCCGTCCGGAGCTGAAGCCAGAAATTAAGTGATAGGGATGTCACGAAGAATAGGGAAGCCAGGAAAATAACCGGAAGGAAGCCAGAAAGAACCTTTCTTAAGTGATAGGGATGTCACGAAGAATAGGAAGCCAGGAAAAAGAACCGAAAGGTTCCAGAAATTAAGGATAGGGATGTCACGGAAGAATCTCAGCCAAGAAAAGAAAATGGAAGAAGCCAGAAATTAAGTGATAGGGATGTCACGGAAGAATAGGAAGCCAGGAAAAGAAACGAAGGAGCCAGAAATTAAGTGATAGGATGTTTCGTCGAAGAAGCCTAGGATGTCACGGAAGAATAAGAAGCCAGGAAAAGAACCCAAGAAGCCAGAAATTAAAGGGGATGTCACGGAAGAATAGGAAGCCAGGAAAATAACCCAAAGAAGGCTTGAAATTAAGTGATAGGGATGTCACGGAAGAATAGGAAGCCAGGAAAAGAACCGAAGAAGCCAGAATTAAGGATAGGATGTCACGAAGAATAGGAAACCAGGAAAAGAACCGAAGAAGCCAGAAATTATGATAGGATGTCACGGAAGAATAGGAAGCCAGGAAAAGAACCGGAAGAAGCCAGAAATTAAGTGATAGGGATGTCACGGAAGAATAGGAAGCCAAAGAACCCGAAAAAATTATGACCAAAGAATAGAGCCAGAAAAGAAAAGGAGCCAGGGATTAAGTCATTCAAAGAAAAGGAAGCCAGGAAAAAGAATAACCGGAAGAAGCCAGAAATTAAGTGATAGGGATGTCACGAATAGGAAGCCAGGAAAACCGGAAGAAGCCAGAAATTATAGGGATGTCACGGAAGAATAGGAAGCCAGGAAAAGAACAAGGCAGAAATTAAGGATAGGGATGTCACGGAAGAATAGGAAGCCAGGAAAAGAACCGGAAGCGAAATTAAGTGATAGGGATGTCACGGAAGAATAGGAAGCCAGGAAAATAACCGGAAGAAGCCAGAAATTAAGTGATAGGGATGTCACGGAAGAATAGGAAGCCAGGAAAAGAACCGGAAGAAGCCAGAAATTAAGTGATAGGGATGTCACGGAAGAATAGGAAGCCAGGAAAGAACCGGAAGGAGCCAGAAATTAAGTGATAGGATGTCACGGAAGAATAGGAAGCCAGGAAAAGAACAAGAAGCCAGAAATTAAGTGATAGGGATGTCACGAAGAATAGGAAGCCAGGAAAATAACGGAAGAAGCCAGAAATTAATGATAGGGATGTCACGGAAGAATAGGAAGCCAGGAAAAACCGGAAGAAGCCAGAAATTAAGTGATAGGGATGTCATGTCATTAGGGATAGGATCAGGAAAATAGGAACCTGAAATAACCAGAAGAAGCCAGAAATTAAGTGATAGGGATGTCCTGAAGAATAGGAAGCCAGGAAAATAACCGGAAGAAGCCAGAAATTAAGTGATAGGGATGTCACGGAAGAATAGGAAGCCAGGAAAATAACCGGAAGAAGCCAGAAATTAAGTGATAGGGATGTCACGGAAGAATAGGAAGCCAGGAAAATAACCGGAAGAAGCCAGAAATTAAGTGATAGGGATGTCACGGAAGAATAGGAAGCCAGGAAAAGAACCGGAAGAAGCCAGAAATTAAGTGATAGGGATGTCACGGAAGAATAGGAAGCCAGGAAAAGAACCGAAAGAAGCCAGAAATTTCTAGGGATGTCACGGAAGAATAGGAAGCCAGGAAAAACCGAAGAAGCCAGAAATTAAGTGATAGGGATGTCACGGAAGAATAGGAAGCCAGGAAAGAACCGGAAGAAGCCAGAAATTAAGATAGGGATGTCACGAAGAATAGGAAGCCAGGAAAAGAACCGGAAGAAGCCAGAAATTAAGGATAGGGATGTCACGGAAGAATAGGAAGCCAGAAAAAGAACCGAAGAAGCCAGAAATTAAGTGATAGGGATGTCACGGAAGAATAGGAAGCCAGGAAAAGAACCGAAGAAGCCAGAAATTAAGTGATAGGGATGTCACGGAAGAATAGGAAGCCAGGAAAAGAACCGGAAGAAGCCAGAAATTAAGTGATAGGGATGTCACGGAAGAATAGGAAGCAGGAAAAAACCAAGAAGCCAGAAATTAAGGATTGGGATGTCACGGAAGAATAGGAAGTCAGAAAAGAACCTTAGAAATTAAGTGATAGGGATGTCACGGAAGAATAGGAAGCCAGGAAAAGAACCGGAAGAAGCCAGAAATTAAGTGATAGGGATGTCACGGAAGAATAGGAAGCCAGGAAAAGAACCGGAAGGAGCCAGAAATTAAGTGATAGGGATGTCACGGAAGAATAGGAAGCCAGGAAAATAACCGAAGGAGCCAGAAATTAAGTGGGGATGTCACGGAAGAATAGGAAGCCAGGAAAAGAACCGGAAGGAGCCAGAAATTAAGATAGGGATGTCCGAAGAATAGGAAGCCAGGAAAGAACCGGAAGAAGCCAGAAATTAAGTGATAGGGATGTCACGGAAGAATAGGAAGCCAGGAAAAGAACCGTCCAGAAATTAAGGATAGGGATGTCACGGAAGAATAGGAAGCCAAAAAGAACCGGAAGAAGCCAGAAATTAATATAGGGATGTCACGGAAGAATAAATGCCAGAAAAGAACCGGGAGCCAGAAATTAAGGATAGGGATGTCACGAAGAATAGAAGCCAGGAAAAGAACCGAAGAAGCCAGAAATTAAGATAGGGATGTCACGAAGAATAGGAAGCCAGGAAAAGAACCGAAAGAAGCCAGAAATTAAGGATAGGGATGTCACGGAAGAATAGGAAGCCAGGAAAATAAAATTAAGGATAGGGATGTCCCGAAGAAGCCAGAAATTAAGTGATAGGGATGTCACGGAAGAATAGGAAGCGGAAAAGAACCGGAAGAAGCCAGAAATTAAGTGATAGGGATGTCACGAAAGAATAGGAAGCCAGGAAAAGAACCGGAAGAAGCCAGAAATTAAGTGATAGGATGTCACGGAAGAATAGGAAAAGAACCCAAAGGAAAAGAACCGGAAGAAGCCAGAAATTAAGTGATAGGATGTCACGGAAGAATAGGAAGCCAGGAAAAGAACCGGAAGAAGCCAGAAATTAAGTGATAGGGATGTCACGGAAGAATAGGAAGCCAGGAAAAAAAACCGGAAGAAGCCAGAAATTAAGTGATAGGGATGTCACGGAAGAATAGGAAGCCAGGAAAAGAACCCAAAGAAGCCAGAAATTAAGGATAGGGATGTCACGGAAGAATAGGAAAAAAAAGAACCGGAAGAAGCCAGAAATTAAGTGATAGGGATGTCACGGAAGAATAGGAAGCCAGGAAAAGAAACCCAAAGAAGCCAGAAATTAAGGATAGGGATGTCACGGAAGAATAGGAAGCCAGGAAAAGAACCGGAAGAAGCCAGAAATTAAGTGATAGGGATGTCACGGAAGAATAGGAAGCGGAAAAGAACCGGAAGAAGCCAGAAATTAAGTGATAGGGATGTCACGGAAGAATAGGAAGCCAGAAAAATAACCCAAAGAAGCCAGAAATTAAGTGATAGGGATGTCACGGAAGAATAGGAAGGGAGAAAAAAGAACCGGAAGGAGCCAGAAATTAAGTGATAGGGATGTCACGGAAGAATAGGAAGCCAGGAAAAGAACCGAAGAAGCCAGAAATTAAGATAGGGATGTCACGGAAGAATAGGAAGCCAGAAAAGAACCCAAAGAAGCCAGAAATTAAGTGATAGGGATGTCACGGAAGAATAGGAAGCCAGGAAAAGAACCCAAAGAAGCCAGAAATTAAGTGATAGGGATGTCACGGAAGAATAGGATGCCAGGAAAAGAACCGGAAGGAGCCAGAAATTAAGTGATAGGGATGTCACGGAAGAATAGGAAGCCAGGAAAAGAACCCAAAGAAGCCAGAAATTAAGTGATAGGGATGTCACGGAAGAATAGGATGCCAGGAAAAGAACCGGAAGAAGCCAGAAATTAAGTGAAATGTCACGAAGAATAGGAAGCCAGGAAAAGAACCCAAAGAAGCCGGAAGAATAGGAAGCCAGAAATTAAGTGATAGGGATGTCACGGAAGAATAGGAAGCCAGGAAAAAGAACCGAAAGGAGCCAGAAATTAAGTGATAGGGATGTCACGGAAGAATAGGAAGCCAGGAAAAGAACCGGAAGGAGCCAGAAATTAAGGATAGGGATGTCACGGAAGAATAGGAAGCCAGGAAAAGAACCCAAAGAAGCCAGAAATTAAGAGATAGGGATGTCACGGAAGAATAGGAAGCCAGGAAAATAACCCAAAGAAGCCAGAAATTAAGTGATAGGGATGTCACGGAAGAATAGGAAGCCAGGAAAAGAAGCGGAAGGAGCCAGAAATTAAGTGATAGGGATGTCACGGAAGAATAGGGAAGCCAGGAAAAGAAACCGGAAGGAAGCCAGGAAAAGAACCGGAAGCCAGAAATTAAGTGATAGGGATGTCACGGAAGAATAGGAAGCCAGGAAAAGAACCCAAAGAAGCCAGAAATTAAGTGATAGGGATGTCACTGAAGAATAGGAAGCCAGGAAAAGAACCGGAAGAAGCCAGAAATTAAGTGATAGGGATGTCACGGAAGAATGGAAGAAGAAGCCAGGAATAGGAAGTAGCCAGAAAAGAACAGAAGAAAGAAGCCAAAAAAATTAAGAAGCCAGATAGGGATAGGGATGTCACGGAAGAATAGGAAGCCAGGAAAATAACCGAAGAATAGGAAGCCAGGAAAAGAACCGGATAGGGATGTCACGGAAGAATAGGAAGCCAGGAAAAGAACCGAAATGAAGCCAGAAATTAAGGATAGGGATGTCACGGAAGAATAGGATGCCAGGAAAAGAACCGGAAGAAGCCAGAAATTAAGGATAGGATGTCACGGAAGAATAGGAAGCCAGGAAAATAACCGGAAGAAGCCAGAAATTAAGTGATAGGGATGTCACGGAAGAATAGGAAGCCAGGAAAAGAACCGAAGAAGCCAGAAATTAAGTGATAGGATGAAATCACGGAAGAATAGGAAGCCAGAAGAAAAAGCCAAAAAGGAAGAAGCCAGAAATTAAGGATAGGGATGTCACGGAAGAATAGGAAGCCAGGAAAAGAACCGGAAGAAGCCAGAAATTAAGGATAGGGATGTCACGGAAGAATAGGGAAGCCAGAAAAATAACCGGAAGAAGCCAGAAATTAAGTGATAGGATGTCAGGAAGAATAGGAAGCCAGGAAAAGAACCGGAAGAAGCCAGAAATTAAGGATAGGATGTCACGAAGAATAGGGAGCCAGAAAATAACCGGAAGAAGCCAGAAATTAAGTGATAGATGACACGGAAGAATAGGAAGCCAGAAAAATAACTGAAGAAGCCAGAAATTAAGGATAGGGATGTCACGGAAGAATAGGAAGCCAGAAATTAGGAAAATAACCGGAAGAAGCCAGAAATTAAGCCAGGATAGGGATGTCACGAAGAATAGAAGCCAGGAAAAAGAATAGGATGCAACCGAAAAGAAGAAGCCAGAAATTAAGGATAGGGATGTCACGGAAGAATAGGAAGCCAGAAAAAGAACCGAAATTAAGTGATAGGATGTCAAGAAGCCAGAAATTAAGTGATAGGGATGTCACGGAAGAATAGGAAGCCAGGAAAATAACACGAAGAAGCCAAACAACCGAAATTAAGTGATAGGGATGTCACGGAAGAATAGGAAGCCAGAAAAGAACCGGAAGAAGCCAGAAAAGGAGCTAAGGATGACACGGAAGATAGGGATGTCACGGAAGAATAGGAAGCCAGGAAAAGAACCGGAAGAAGCCAGAAATTAATGATAGTGATGTCACGGAAGAATAGGAAGCCAGGAAAAGAACCGTAAGAAGCCAGAAATTAAGTGATAGGGATGTCACGGAAGAATAGGAAGCCAGGAAAAGAACCGAAGAAGCCAGAAATTAAGGATAGGGATGTCATGGAAGAACAGGAAGCCAGAAAATAACCGGAAGAAGCCAGAAATTAAGTGATAGGGATGTCACGGAAGAATAGGAAGCCAGGAAAAGAATGAGCCAGGAAATTAAGGAAGAAGAAGAATAGGAAGCCACAGAAAAAAACCGAAGAAGAATAGGAAGCCAGAAATTAAGAGATAGGGATGTCACGAAGAATAGGAAGCCAGAAAAGAACCGTAAGAAGCCAGAAATTAAGTGATAGGGATGTCAAGAAGAATAGGGAAGCCAGAAATTGTTAAGGATAGAAGGAACCGAAGAAGAAGCCAGAAATTAAGGATAGGGATGTCAGAATAGGGAAGCCAGGAAGAATAGGAAGAATAGGAAGGAAAAGAACCGGAAGAAGCCAGAAATTAAGGATAGGGATGTCACGGAAGAATAGGAAAAGCCAGGAAAAGAACCGAAGAAGCCAGAAATTAAGTGATAGGGATGTCACGAAGAATAGGAAGCCAGGAAAAGAACCGAAGAAGCCAGAAATTAAGGAAAAGAAACCCAAAGAAGCCAGAAATGATAGGGATGTCACGGAAGAATAGGAAGAATAGGAAGCCAGGAAAAACTGAAGAAGCCAAAGAAGCCACGGAAGAATAGGAAATTAAAAGAACCGGAAGCCAGAAATTATGGATAGGGATGTCACAGAAGAATAGGAAGCCAGGAAAAACCCAAAGAAGCCAGAAATTAAGTGATAGGGATGTCACGGAAGAATAGGAAGCCAGGAAATAACCGAAGAAGCCAGAAATTAAGAAGAATAGGAAGCCAGGAAAAATAACCGGAAGAAGCCAGAAATTAAGATAGGGATGTCACGGAAGAATAGGAAGCCAGGAAAAGAACCGGAAGAAGCCAGAAATTAAGGATAGGGATGTCACGAAGAATAGGAAGCCAGGAAAAGAACCCAAGAAGCCAGAAATTAAGAAGCCAGAAAATTAAGTGAAGAAAAAGCTAGAAAAATAGATGTCACGGAAGAATAGGAAGCCAGGAAAAGAACCAAAGAAGCCAGAAATTAAGGATAGGGATGTCAAGCGAAGAATAGGAAGCCAGAAAAGAACCGAAGGAGCCAGAAATTAAAGAATGATAGGGATGTCACGGAAGAATAGGGAAGCCAGGAAAAAGAACCCCAAAGAAGAAGCCAGAAATTAAGTGATAGGATGTCACGGAAGAATAGGAAGCCAGAAAAGAACCCAAAGAAGCCAGAAATTAAGGATAGGGATGTCACGGAAGAATAGGAAGCCGAAGAAAAGAACCCAGGAAGGAGCCAGAAATTAAGGATAGGGATGTCACGAAGAATAGGAAGCCAGGAAAAGAACCGAAGAAGCCAGAAATTAAGGATAGGGATGTCACGGAAGAATAGGGCCAGGAAAGAACCGAAGAAGCCAGAAATTAAAGGGATGTCACGGAAGAATAGGAAGCCAGAAAGAAAAATTAATAGGGATGTCCAAGAAAAGAACCGAAGAAGCCAGAAATTAAGTGATAGGGATGTCACGGAAGAATAGGAAGCCAGGAAAATAACCCAAAGAAGCCAGAAATTAAGGATAGGATGTCACGGAAGAATAGGAAGCCAGGAAAATAACCGAAGAAGCCAGAAATTAAGGATAGGGATGTCACGGAAGAATAGGAAAATAACCGCCAGAAAAGATAGGACCCAAAAGAAGCCAAGAAGCCAGAAGAAAATTAAGATAGGATGTCACGAAGAATAGGAAGAAAAATAACCCAAAGAAGCCAGAAAATTAAGTGATAGGGAACAGAAGAATAGGAAGCCAGAAAAGAACCGGAAGGAGCCAGAAATTAAGATAGGGATGTCACGGAAGAATAGGAAGCCAGGAAAAATAAACCCAAGAAGCTAGAAATTAAGTGATAGGGGATGTCACGGAAGAAAAAGAAACCTAAAGAAGCCAGAAAAAGAACCAGAAGAAGAAGCCAGAAATTAAGTGATAGGGATGTCACGGAAGAATAGGAAGGAAAATTAAGAACCGGAAGAAGCCAGAAATTAAGTGATAGGGATGCAAGAATAGGAAGCCAGAAAAGAAGAAGAAATTAAGCCAAGAATAGGAAAAAAAGAACCCAAAGAAGCCAGAAATTAAGTGATAGGGGATGGTACGGAAGAATAGGAAGCCAGGAAAAGAACCCAAGGAGCCAGAAATTAAGGATAGGGGATGTCACGGAAGAATAGGAAGCCAGGAAAAGAACCGGAAGGAGCCAGAAATTAAGTGATAGGGATGTCACAGAAGAATAGGAAGCCAGGAAAAGAACCGAAGAAGCCAGAAATTAAGTGATAGGGATGTCACAGAAGAATAGGAAGCCAGGAAAAATAAAGCCGGAAGAAGCCAGAAATTAAGGATAGGGATGTCACGGAAGAAGATGAATAGGAAAATAACCGGGAACCTACCCAACGGAAGAAGCCAGAAATTAGATAGGGATGTCAAGAGCAGAAGAATAGGAAGCCAGAAAAAGAACCGGAAGAAGCCAGAAATTAAAGATAGGGATGTCACGGAAGAATAGGAAGCCAGGAAAAAGAACCGAAGAAGCCAGAAATTAAGTGATAGGGATGTCACGAAGAATAGGAAGCCAGGAAAAGAACCCAAAGAAACCAGAAATTAAGGGATAGGGATGTCACAGAAGAATAGGAAGCCAGAAAAGAACCGAAGGAGCCAGAAATTAAGGATAGGGATGTCACAGAAGAATAGGAGGCCAGGAAAAGAACCGGAAGAAGCCAGAAATTAAGTGATAGGGATGTCACGGAAGAATAGGAAGCCAGGAAAAGAACCCAAAGAAGCCAGAAATTAAGGATAGGGATGTCACAGAAGAATAGGAAGCCAGGAAAAGAACCGGAAGGAGCCAGAAATTAAGTGATAGGATGTCACGGAAGAATAGGAAAAATAACGGAAAGAACCGGAAGAACCCAAAGAAGCCAGAAATTAAGGATAGGGATGTCACAGAAGAATAGGAAGCCAGAAAAGAAAAAGAAGCCAGAAATTAAGGATAGGATGTCAAAGAATAGGAAGCCAGGAAAAGAACCGGAAGAAGCCAGAAATTAAGGATAGGGATGTCACACGAAGAATAGGAAGCCAGGAAAAGAACCGAAGAAGCTAGAAATTATGATAGGATGTCACGGAAGAATAGGAAGCTGTGATAGGGAAAAGAACCCAAAGAAGCCAGAAATTAAGTGATAGGGATGTCACGGAAGAATAGGAAGCCAGGAAAAGAACCCAGAAAAGAAATTAAGAACACGGAAGGAAGCTAGAAAATTAAGGATAGGGATGTCACGGAAGAATAGGAAGCCAGGAAAAGAACCCAAAGGAGCCAGAAATTAAGTGATAGGGATGTCACGGAAGAATAGGAAGCCAGGAAAATAACCGGAAGAAGCCAGAAATTAAGTGATAGGGATGTCACGGAAGAATAGGAAGCCAAAAAAAAGAACCCAAAGAAGCCAGAAATTAAGTGATAGGGATGTCACAATAGAAGAAAAATTAAGAACCGGAAGCCAGGAAATAACCAAGAAGCCAGAAATTAAGTGATAAGGATGTCACAGAAGAATAGGGAATGCCAGGAAAATAAAGCCAGGAAAAGAACCCAAAGAAGCCAGAAATTAAGTGATAGGGATGTCACGGAAGAATAGGAAGCCAGGAAAGAACCGGAAGAAGAAAAGGGATGTCACGGAAGAATAGGGAAGCCAGAAAAGAACCCAAAGAAGCCAGGATAGGGGATGTCACGGAAGAATAGGAAGCCAGGAAATTAAACCGGAAGAAGCCAGAAATTAAGTGATAGGGATGTCACGGAAGAATAGGAAGCCAGGAAAAAACCCAAAGAAGCCAGAAATTAAGGATAGGGATGTCACGGAAGAATAGGAAGCCAGGAAAATAACCGGAAGAAGCCAGAAATTAAGTGATAGGGATGTCACAGAAGAATAGGAAGAAAAAGGAAGCCAGAAAATAAACCGGAAGAAGCCAGAAATTAGCCAGGATAGGGATGTCACAGAAGAATAGAAGCCAGGAAAAGAACCGAAGAAGCCAGAAATTAAGGATAGGGATGTCACGGAAGAATAGGAAGCCAGGAAAAGAACCCAAAGAAGCCAGAAATTAAGGATAGGGGATGTCACGGAAGAATAGGAAGCCAGGAAAATAACCGGAAAAAGAAGCCAGAAATTAAGTGGATAGGGATGTCACGGAAGAATAGATGGATAGGGATGTCACGGAAGAATAGGAAGCCAGGAAAAATAACCGGAAGAAGCCAGAAATTAATAGTGATAGAAGAATAGGAAGTCACAGAAGAATAGGAAGCCAGGAAAATAAAGCCAGGAAAAGAAGCCAGAAATTAAGTGATAGGGATGTCACGGAAGAATAGGGAAGCCAGGAAAATAACCGAAGAAGCCAGAAATTAAGTGATAGGGATGTCACAGAAGAATAGGAAGCCAGGAAAAATAACCGGAAGAAGCCAGAAATTAAGGATAGGGATGTCACGGAAAATAGGAAGCCAGGAAAATAACCGAAGAAGCCAGAAATTAAGGATAGGGATGTCACGGAAGAATAGGAAGCCAGGAAAAGAACCGAAGAAGCCAGAAATTAAGTGATAGGATGTCACGAAGAATAGGAAGCCAGGAAAAGAACCCAAAGAAACCAGAAATTAAGTGATAGGGATGTCACGGAAGAATAGGAAGCCAGGAAAATAACACGGAGAATAGGAAGAAGCCAGAAATTAAAGAGATGGTGATGTCCGGAGGAAGATAGGGATGTCACAGAAGAATAGGAAGACAGGAAAAGAACCGGAAGAAGCCAGAAATTAAGTGATAATGATGTCACGGAAGAATAGGAAGCCAGGAAAAATAACCGGAAGAAGCCAGAAATTAAGTGATAGGGATGTCACAGATGAATAGGAAAAGAACCGAAGGAAAGAAAATTAAGGAAAAGAACCGGAAGAATAGAAGCCAGGAAAATTAAGTGATAGGGATGTCACGAAAAGAATAGGAAGCCAGGAAAAGAA